ATGACTCTGAAGGTAAGGGCAAGGCAGGCCATCATAACACTACCTGTTCACTGGAATCTTTTGGCCAACCAACTTCTATTTGAGCTTGTTAGATGCTATTGTTCTGAACTTCCAAAAGTCTTTCACTGAATTTTTAAATTTAAAGCCCGTAGTGAAGCCCAGAACACTAAAGTATGGTAGCACTGTAGTTTTAAAAAATTATTGATGTGTTATTATATATATATATATTTATATTTTTTTTCGTACTTGTCAATTCAGGCATTTTGTATTTATGAATTGTGAAGAGATGGGGCTTTTCTTTGTGTTGTGTGAGAGATTCCTGTGTGCTGGTGTTGAGTGTATGATCTGCCTGGGAGGCCCCCCACCACCTCAGTGACAACACGGAAAGACCAACTCTGCTCTCCCACTGTTTGTTATGCTTGGACGCTTCAACTTGTTAGTTTTGTTGAGGCAGTTTTATTGTTTTTTGTCTCTGTACTGCATTGTTTTCCCCTTCATTCTCTCTGACTTGTACATGATGTGTGAGACTGACCGTGACAAAGCTGACACTGGCTGAGCGCAGCTGGCTGGGGGTGGCCAGTACATTCCTGTACATCTGGGACTACGAAGGTTTGATGACAAACCTGTCAGGAAAAAGAATTCTCAGCAAGTAGACATGATCATAGCATCAGTATCTTCAGTATTTGAACATACTGAACTTTCTCTCAAAATTTCAGTGTTTGATATTCTTCAGATGGTGTTTTTTTATATAGTCCCAAGAATTTTTTGGTCTAGTGTCAGATACAGGGGAATTTTGAGTTTGGTAGAGGACAGGGATAGTCCCTAGTGCTACAATCTTGTATGTTCATGTGTCCCTAGGGGTGAGAAACCCTTTCTGTAGTTGGTTGGATTCCCCTAATTTTTTCTAGGGAAGAAAGGTTACAATAAACAGTGTAGTGTTCACATAGCAATTTATTATAATAGATTAGTGCTTGTGGAAGTATGAGCCATGCATTCTCCTCATTCTGTGTAGAAACACATTCATAGATGATCCCCAGTTTCTGCATCTATTAGTTGAAATTAATGTTTTGATACTTCATGTAACAAGTCATCTTCACTAATCAACCTTTACCGTACCTGAGCCCATTGACCCAAAGTCCCTAAGCTCTGTATGATAGAGATCAGTATCAAGTATTCCAGTTACAGGCATACCCTTTAGACAATGTTTCAAAAGATGTTGTATACTTATTTCTTTTCCTGATGTTCCCTTGGCTATTAATCTGAGTTTAACATAAGATATTTAACTAAAACCTTAATTGGATCCGTTACCCCAAACCTTTCTCACATACTAACCAAGAAACACTTCTACTCTTGTTATGCTGCACATGTGGGCGCCTACTGTAGGGGTGTTTCGGAAAAGATCTTTGAAAGGTAAAAATTCAACTCCAAACGAAAAGGAATGGGCATCTGGGTGGAATCTTTTAGTTCTCTTTTTTAATGCTCATACTGTTTTGTTTTTTCTGCAATAACCCCCCTAACTGTGGTCGTTGTAACCCCTTTTGAGTACTGTAAATATGGACATTTTCATACAAATTCTTGTATCTTGCACACAAACAGCTGTGGTTTCTTTCTGTTTTCTGATTAAATGTCTTGTTTGATTCAGCTGGTGAAAATATCCATACATTACAGACAGCACTCAAGTTTTTAATGTTGTGCCTTGCAGTTTTAAGCAGTTTAAAAAGGAGTGGAATGCCCCCAAATCATTAACTACTTGTACTATTACAACTGTTGATACTACTACTACCACTATAACTATTACTTCTACTTTTCCCACTATCAATACTTCAACAGTTCCACTGTCAGAGATACCTCTAAGGCTGTTGCTGCTACTACTTCTACTATTACTACTACTACTGCTACTATTGTTACTATTTCTATTACTACTACTGCAAATTTCTCAGACATTCTATAGCTTATGTGGTTCCCTTATAAGATGGGAGTCCCACGAAAGGCCTTGAATTTTTCCCAAAGTTTGATAGATGCCCAACAGGCGCTGGTCTTTTCTGAAGCAGTGAATGATAGTTTTGTTTAGTTGGATGTTGGCTCTGTCCTCTTTGACACCCTCCTTATTTTTGCTTGTGGCTTTTTATTTTGCTTGTTTTTTTTTTCACAACAAGCTACAAGTTTTAGAGTTTGTGGGAGTCGTGTGTGTGTTTGTTTGCATAGTGAGAGCGGACCCTCATCACCTGACCTTGGACCCTTTTGATCCCAACCCCCATTTTGTAAGTATATTTTATAATAGAGGAATTACTTTTCTCCTTCTCCCTCCCCCCTCCCCCATTTTAACCACTTGAAAATTTACACATTCATGCATATTCCCATAGAAGATAAACTTTTGGAATTTTGCTTCATACAAGATATTTTCCAATTGTGTAACAAAATATTAGTGTTAATAAGTTCTCCAGCAGATACTGCATATGTACCCCAAAACATGAAAGAGTAAGAAATGGTTCATCACACC